CCCTCCACCCCCCCAAAAAAACCCTTCACCCTTTGATCCCACATTGACCCCACAGACTCCCCACTCATCACCCACATAAGTAAATAATCATAATCATTTGGAAGAAAGGAGTCAAAAAAATGGCTCTTTTGCGACAAATAATAAACACTGGCGCAGCATTTCAAAAATCTGACGATGGGAAAAAATAGAGTACAAAAAAAAAAAAAATTATGACGATGGTACCGCCTTCACTCGAATAGTACGCAAGAGTTTTGTCGCTGTCTCTGGACTGGAAACTGGCCAAAATACAGCTCTAATGACCCAACGTTCTATTCGGGGGAAGAGAAGGCAACTCTTTCTTCCCCAAGCATATTCCCCCCTCTCTGTCTTCACCTCCTGCCCATCCGTTTTGCTATCCCACCTGTCTCCGGGCATACTCCCACACTACTAGGGGGACCTTGCTGGATGTATATCACCGCAATTACAACCAGACAAAAATGTATCTGACCGCAATGGCGTCCAGAGGTCAGTCCACAAAGTCCTGGTGTGACTAATGCCCTCAGATGCGTTGGCTTGAATCCATCCCTCCCTCCCCTCCCCTCCCCTCCCCTCCCCTCCCATCCATCCATCCATCCAAAATGAATGCATCATGCACTAATTAATCATCAACCCATCAATCACAATCCTATACAAAAGGATTGGAAAGCCTGAGACCCATCTGTGTCAACAAGTACTACAGTCTTCCCCCGAATACAACGTACGGACGGTCATTATAGCTGAATTTAGACTGAAAGATACACCAAATTCAGCTATAATGACCGTACGTTGTATTCGGGGGAAGACTGTAGATGACCCGTAGCAACACGTCGCTTGCAAGAAAACAGGAGGGAATACCAACGCAGTGTTTTTTTTTTGTTTTTTTTTTTTCTTTTCTTTTGCGGCAGTCACTTCACCTGTTACATAAACTTTTTTCTTTTTTTTTAAGTGCGATAGTCGCTTCACCTGTTATGTAAACTGTTTGGTTTTTTTTTTTCCTTATATGTGGTGTTCAGTGGTGGGAGGAACGTTATTTTCCTTGCGCTGTGTCCAATCAATGACCCGCACGGGCGTCGTCAGACAACACTGCACTTTTTTCTGAGGATATGCTGACCCGTTGATCTGTTTGCTCACAGTTCCAATCCCCAGTAAGTTTGCTCTGTTTCCTAACTATGTGATCAGCCAGTGTTGTATATATTCCGTCCTTGCCATCTCTCTCTCTCTCTCTCTCTCTCTCTCTCTCTCTCTCTCTCTCTCTCTCTCTCTCTCTCTCTCTCTCTCTCTCTCTCTCTCTCTCTC